CAGGTATGCTTTCATTTACTTGTAAATGTATTAATTATTTACTGTTTTTATTTTTGCTTATTTCGCTGATATGTAAAATTAAATCCAAATGAATATTGTTTCTCTGCCAAGTTTATGATCTTAAAACCTGGTGAAATTGCTCAAAACATCAGTGATAATAAATGGTGTTGTAGTATACTGAACTTGAGTCGCTTGGTGATTTGTTCGAACCATTGCTCAATTTGGAAAACTACCAATTCCGGGATACAACCACTTATGCTGTGGGAATAAGCTGTTTTCTGCAATGATGACTGGGTTCTTTTGATGTTGCAATTCTAATTTATTTTTATGATCTGCAGCAATCCTTTCACTAATCACAGACCTCATACAAGGGATTTGGGTTTTGTACAGTTTATGAAAAATCATATCATATCCTGAACAAAATCCTGAAATCAAATTATGAAGAACCTAAACGTGCCCTTGAAATTACAAAAATGAAAATTAAGTTTTGATTTGGTTAATGGACACCACAACTTTCAATGCACCTCCTAAAATTTTTCATGATTTGTTGCCATACCAACTGATCATTTTTAATAGTGATCACAATAATCAGTGATATGTGTTCTGAATATAATATGAAACTTTGATGTGGACGAAGAATAGGAATAGCACTTGGGGAAGACACGATTGGTTCAGACAATGTTTAACACAATTTTATGAAAATTGAGATCCTGGTTAAGTTACGAAAAATTGTTGTGGATACGGTTAAATCCATGAAAGAGTGAGAATCTGAAGGAGCAGAATGTGTTCTAGCAAAGAATTGTGGTCATATTAAAGTACATCAATTCACGTTTTATCTTACATAGGTTATGATGGTAAAGCTGGAATGGCCGCTGTTATTCTTTCTGATCAACACGTCAATTTGCAAGAGATGTATTCATTCCTGTCTTCCAGATTACCTAATGTATTCATGCCCACGATTTATTCGTATTACGAAGGAACTTGTCATCACAGGGACATACAAGTACACCAAACTTGACCTTGTTAAAGAGGGATTCAATCCTGATCTTGTCTCTGACCCACTTTATTACTTTGACAGTCTTGCAAAATCATATACACTTCTTGATCATCAAGCTTTTGAGAAAATTGAAAAAAAAGAAATTAGACTTTAGCAAATTTGAAAATTGCAATTACGAATCAGCCTTGAGATACAATATATTAGTGTTTAATATTTACAAAATAATGTAATGTCTGCAATTGAATTAAATGTTATGATCCAAATCATGTTGATTCAAATGTTATGATCCCAATCATGTTGATTCAAATCATGTGAGCATCCTCTGTAAATTCTTGCTGGGTAAGTGTTCACAAACACCATCATGTGATCACAGTCATATATATATATATATATATATATATATATATATATATATATATATATATATATATATATATATATATATATACAGGGGGGCAAGGGTTATTTTCGTTCAACGTAATTGCAATATTTTTTTGTTCATACAACGTAAATTGAAAAAATAAATTCCGTAATTTTGTAATCACAGGCTAGACGTACAACGTAATCAATCAAATATTTTTTCGTACACTGTAAAAATGTGTCATTTTTCTTGGTATGTACAAGAATTTACATCCAAATAAAAAAAGTCATAAAGAATAATCCAGGGAAATTACATTTTCGAAACTGTAAAACGACTAGATGACACAATTCACTGCAAAATTCAATTTTCACTGTAAACTGTAAAAACGTCTTTTTTTCTTCTTGTAAATTGTAAAAAGCCCTTTTTATTTCCCGTAAAACTGTACCAGCTACCCCGCTTGCCCCCCTCATATATAGAGATAGAGGGACTGTGGCATGATGTTGTAATTCGCTGACAATAACAATATAAATATCATCATTTGAACCCACTTATTGCTGTTGGTTTTGAGCTTAATTGAACAATATATGTCATCTATATCTATGTATATCTTCTGCATATTTTTCTTCAAGAAATAAGTTATCAGATTAATTTTAGACAATTTCAAAAACCAATTTCTGGACAATTTCTTTTCCAAAATCAATGCATGCATTTTTTTATTTCAATTCAGGACAATTTTTTTTTAATTTCTCCCGAAATTAGTTTTGTTTTTATTTTGTAAAATTCCAACAAAACACCTTAAAAAAACGCATGCATTGACCAGAAATATTCATGTTTTGTTATGGCTAAATCACAAGTCATAATCGAATTATATTTTTATCCAACATTATAAATAATCAATAGTGTTTGATATGTTTAAACAACAATTCACAATACTTGTTTTAATCACCAAAGCAATAAAATTGAATCTCATTTATCGAAATGTGTAAAACTGCTAAATTTTGAATGACCTGGAAATAAATCTAGCTGTATGTAGATTAGGTATCCAATACCAGCTAGTCAAGATTATGACACAATAGGAGTCTTTGCAGTTGCCCTGTCTTTCTGTCTGTCTGTCTGTCTGTCTGTCTGTCTGTCTGTCTGTCTGTATGTATGTATGTATGTCTATCTATCTCATCCACTGATATCTTAAGAGCTAATCCTTGTATTTCTATGAAACTGGGTACATATATGTACTCGGTTAATGTGTACCGGTAGTCCCGAAATGTTTTTGGTTTAAATATGTGAAGGAAAATGAAACTTTTTATGAAGATTTGGCTTCTCAATTACCATACAGTAGGAAAACATGAGTAGAGAATATGTTTATGAGACCCATGATGTTATGTGAAAGAATTCTTGATTGTATGATTATGTGTCTGTGTAGTGTATTTGAAAGTCGTATCGAAGAATAAAATATTTGCATATGCCAACAAACTTTCTTGTTAATTTCCATCGGAACTAAGTTCAAATTTTGACTGTCATCTCATGAGAACTATGCAAGTCCGTTCTTTTGAAAACATGATCTGTGATGCCAAGCCTTTTACGAGTGTGTGAATTGCCAATATTGATTCAGTAAGATGTTGATCATAAAAATTTACTGGGCAATCATTGAAGTTGATTTGAAAGTCCAACAAATTCTTTCTGAAACATTGCAAAAGGTCAAACAAGTTTATTTGGAAGACTGGAATGTTGAAAGATGGAATGATGCCAGCAGTGAAAAATGTTGCTTTGAAAGTTGCAAAGGTAGCAAAATTGTATCTAAAGCAATTTTCAAAGTTGTTTTATAGTAGGAAAAGTTGTCAGAAACATTCCAAAAGTGTATTTAAAGTAAAAAAATGACTTTTGGGTGGAATGTTGCAAAATTTGAAAAAGGTATTTTTAATGTCGCAAAGGTTGCCTTAAAGTAGAAAAAATTGTTTGACAAATAGAAAAAAAAAGTTTCAGAAGTCCTAAAGTCCCGACAATTGTCTCCAATGTAGAAACCATTGACTAGAAACGCGAACAAGTAGTTTAGAAAGTTTCTTTTACAGTCGAGAATACTGTCTAAAGCATTACTAAATATATTTTGAAAAGTTGTAGAATTGCTTCGAAAGTCAAAAAGTTTACTAGATAGACCAATAAGTTTCATGAAAAGTTGAAAAGCTGGCTGGAAACATTATGATGATAGTAAAATCAGTTGCTTTGAAAGTCAGCCTTATCATGAAAAGTAGTTGTGGAAGTCCGAGATTGTTAATTGAAAACCGTAGTGAAAAGTCGCAAAAGTTGGCTGGATATATAATCAAAAATCAGTATATGCAAAATCTGACATTGAAGCAGGACAATTGATTCGGAATTCGTATTCTGAAAAGATGTAAAACTTGCTTCAAAAATATTGAACAAAAAAAAGTTTCAGAAGCCAGAAAAGTTGCCTCAAAAGTAGGGAAAGTGATTATGATCATTACAATATTTGAATAGAAGGCAAGATTTTGAAATGTAAAAAAGTTGCTTTAGAGGACGGGAAATTAGTATTGAGAAAATTGACCACAAAAACTACATAAGTCGAAAAATTTGTCTCTGAAGTCGAAAAGTCAACTTTGCTCTGAAAGTTATGAACTAAACGTGTTTGGAATGTCGCACACATTTGCAAGAATCAACAAAAAGCTGCTTTGACAGTTGGAAAAGTTGTTTTGAGAATTTGTGAAACTTGTTTCGAAGGTCGCTAAGTTGACTAAAAAACCTAAAAACAAATTTGAAAACCTGAAACGTTGATTTGAATGCTGGGAAAGTGTTTTTGAATGTCGAAAAGATCACCGGAAAGACCCACAAATTGTTGCAAAGCTACTTGGAATGTTACAGAAGTTGATTTGAAAAGACAGAAAATTAAAGTAATTTCAGAAGCTCTTAACATGTTGGTTAAAAGGGTCAATTGTCTTTGACAATTGAAATGTCGACTCAAGCGACAGAGAAGCAGTTCCAGAATTTGACAAGCGTTCATTTTGTGTGAATGTGGTGTTGAAATTAAAGCCATCACCCCTGATACAAATAATGTATGCTCTGTCATTTACCAGCTGCAATCGTGATACATGTAAACTGAACAGACTTGTAAATTAAGGTTAAACAGAAATTCCTTGTGGGACTGGTCTATATAGAAGGGGACAAGGGGGTAGCTGGTACAGGTTACAGGAAGTAAAAAAATGCATTTTTCGTTTTTACAGGAAATAAAAAGAAAAGTTCCAATTGAAGTAAAAAATAGTATTTGACACTTTACAGATAAAGCAAATTCCTAATTACATTTTAATAACATACTTGATATTTTGTGTTTAAGAATCAAAATTAGAAATTGCGTATGAATTACGACATTTAATGTTGAAAATGCTTTATATGCTTACAAAAAATAGGATATTTGTACAAATTACCGACGAATAAAATAGCTGATTGCATTTTATACCTTGTCCATCTCTACGAATTTACGTGTTTTATTTATTTAAATTACATTATTACGATATTAAAAACAATTGATTACAGCTTACGAAAATACCCCTTGCCGACCCTCTATATATAATAAGATCGTTTCTGGTCATTTTCTAAATTTGATCTATAGTTATGAAAATGATAATCAATGTCGTATTATCGCTGTGTAACAATAACCCTGAATGGATCTTCTCGTAGCTGAAGTCCATCGCGGAATTTGACTTGTGGGATATCTCCTTGAATCTTGTCAAAGCGACATTGGTGTAATAAAATCACAAAGATAAGATGCGTCAGTGTGACCGCCATCTGTTCGCCCGGACATCGGCGTTTTCCTACGCCGAACGCCATCATCTGTGCAACTGTCTTTTTATTTAAGCTGCCGTCGTCGGAAAGGAACCTTTCAGGGCGAAATTGGTGTGGTTCGTCCCATATTGCTTCGTCGTAGTTAGCGGACCATATATTCGGTATAAGAGGCGTGCCTTTAGGAATATCATAACCAAATATGTTTGTGTTGTCCATAGTGCAATGCGGCACTGCTGGCGACGAGACAGAAGTGACTCGCATTACTTCATAGACAACGGCATAGCTGTACGGCAACTTCGTGCGATCCGAAAGTTGTGGCAGCCGTTTTCTACTGACTACATCGTCAATATCGTATAGTAATTTGTTTTGGACTTCTGGGTAAATTATCATGTGTAATATCAGTAAATATATTGCGTGGCTTATTCCAAAAACTCCAGCTCCAAACATATTGCATAATATATTACAAATGTGTTCGTGACTCCACACTTTCTTGGCATCCGACGGGTCGCCTGTATTTCTTATCAAGAGCATGTTGTCCATGATATCTCGCGGGATGCCCGACTCGATTTCTTTATGTTCCGCCATTATGTCAGATACAAACCTTTTCTGGAAGAGAACTAGTTCGTCGAAGCGATTTTGTATACGGCTTGGTAGGATTCTTAACACCGGTAGAAAGTCATGTGGGTTACCCATGCTGCGAATGGCGTCGTGGAAATATTCATCGCAACTGATCAAATTCGTGAAATCATCGTTATCGTAGTCGTAGTTTTTGCTGTAGTATACCAAACACGAGATTTTTGCAACCGCGTTGTGGATATGTTGGCGCATGTCAACGGCTTTCCCATTCTTTTCTGTCACTATTCTTATCATTTTAGTTGTCTCCATAACAACTAAATCTTCAAGCTCTCGTTGCCTGTCTACGACGAATATTTTTAACGACGACTCGATCATCCTTTTTTGCTTCTTCCAGATTTCGCTGTAACTGCTGTACGCAAAGTCAGAACCTGTCCCATTGTTTTTCATCATAGTATAGAAGTTTGGTCTTCCAGCAAACACAGCCGCTTTCTTGAACAAAGCCTCGCGTATGGCTTCGGCACCATTAAGTATGACCACGTTCGTATTGCCTAGTTGAATTTGAAACACGTCACCATATTGTTTTGCCATGTTCGTCAGTGTTAGGCATGGTAAATCACCAAGAGAAAACAGAGATCCAACTACGGGCCAGCCTATTGGACCAGGCATTCCACGTATGCTTGTTGTCCGCATTATTCGTGTAAGAATTACAACTAGCAGAACGGTTATTAAGGCCAATACACACTGCAAGTTAGACATACTAACCGTTATTTCCATCCACATCGCCATGTTTGTATTGCTCCGATTTCAAGAGGGATTTACATGTAATTTTATAATCCAGTCTACTACTATTTTTGTCAACAGCGTTTATTTGTTTCAGATTCGAGCGTCATAAAAACATCACGTGACGTGATTAATTATTTATGAAGACGTTCGATTCGGACAAACAAATGTGTGAACAAAAAACTGACGGGAATGATAGAGGCATTCAGACAATAAGATTTTTTAAGATTCACACTAAATTACCGAAAAATTGTTTTTCTTGATTTGTTCTGTTTCCCTCAATTCCATTTTTTGATAAATCTTAATGGCGATAAAATTAAATATTCTCCAAATAATAATTATGCTGGTGGCCTGCCCAACCACTGTGTATATATTCGTGTGTTCAACGTAGCTAGTATCCGATGATGTTTTAAAGTGGTGTGTCCGGCCAGGATTTTCCGAACCAGAATAGTATCTTATTGGTTTGATGGGTCATTGAGCAAAATATTATAAAAAAAGTAGAAAGTAGAAAACTAAAAAAATGTGAAGTGTAAATTATGAAATAAATAAATAAACAAACGAACAGTCTGGCTCGTCAATGGAGAGGTTTAATCACGTGCCACGTAGGCGTTCCAGGCATTACGATCGCTTGATGTCGCATTTCAACAAGCAGACGACAGGTTGTATAAAAGGGATCTGTGACGTTTTTCACGAAAATGTGTCTTAGGTTGAAGCCTTCTCATATTGTTTTGTGGAAGTCTCAACAATACAGTTTGACAAAGAATCAAAAAAAGTTACACACCACACCGTTGACTAATACTAAAACGAATAATCATAGACAGAAATTGAAACAATTTTTTTTCCCGTGAAGAAATTTTTTTTTTATTATTTTTTTATTGAAGTCCAAAGTATACAATATACATACTTACAGTGCTTTGAATAAATAGAATCACATGTGTCTGAGAAACCTTCAACAAATATACGTTGTTTATAATATTGTCAACTGAATGCATATATTTGTCTGCTATGTGCGCTAAAATATGCGCACATGTAAACAAAAATCGCAAGTAGCATTTAGTGTTTCCAACTCGTTCAACCAGAATAACATCTTGTTAATCAGATGGGACATTGCGCGAAATATCTTTTGAAAAGATGAAATGTGTGAAGTGGAAGCTATGGAATATATAAAATGAATAAATAATAATTTTATGACTAGCTTGGCTTACTCATGAAAGGTTGGTAATTAAATACATGGATCAACAACAGTGTGTGCATTTTGAGAACTATTTATGTTACATCAAATTCAGGATTTGAACCCTTGCCCTTGCAATGTAAAAGTACATGGAGCTGGCAGAATTGGAGTTAAACTTTGCCTGGTACAGTCAATGTAAAAGTACATGGAGCTGGCAGAATAAGCGTTAAACCTTGCCTGGTTCAGTCAATGTAAAAGTACATGGAGCTGGCAGAATAAGCGTTAAACCTTGCCTGGTCAAGTCAATGGAAAAGTACATGGGGCTGGCAGAATAAGCGTTAAACCTTGTCTGGTACAGTCAATGTAAAAGTACATGGAGCTGGCAGAATAAGCGTTAAACCTTGTCTGGTTCAGTCAATGTAAAAGTACATGGAGCTGGCAGAATAAGCGTTAAACCTTGCCTGGTCAAGTCAATGGAAAAGTACATGGGGCTGGCAGAATAAGCGTTAAACCTTGTCTGGTACAGTCAATGTAAAAGTACATAGAGCTGGCAGAATAAGCGTTAAACCTTGCCTGGTCAAGTCAATGTAAAAATACATGGGGCTGTCAGAATAAGCGTTAAACCTTGCCTGGTTCAGTCAATGTAAAAGTACATGGGGCTGGCAGAATAAGGGTTAAACCTTGCCTGGTTCAGTCAATGTTAAAAGTACATGGAGCTGGCAGAATAAGGGTTAAACCTTGCCTGGTTCAGTCAATGTAAAAAGTACATGGAGCTGGCAGAATAAGGGTTAAACCTTGCCTGGTTCAGTCAATGTAAAAAGTACATGGGACTGGCAGAATAAGTGTTAAAACTTGCCTGGTCAAGTCAATGTAAAAGTACATGGAGCTGGCAGAATAAGCGTTAAACCTTGCCTGGTCAAGTCAATGTAAAAGTACATGGAGCTGACAGAATAAGCGTTAAACCTTGTCTGGTTCAGTCAATGTAAAAGTACATGGAGCTGGCAGAATAAGCGTTAAACCTTGCCTAGTTCAGTCAATGTAAAAGTACATGGAGCTGGCAGAATAAGGGTAAACCTTGCC